GCCTTCTTCTTCTTCAACCCGGAGACCGCCCTCAGAGGTGTCGGATCTAGCGGCCTCGAGCTACTTGCTTCCCCAGAACCCCCCCCCCCCCCCGGGGGGGGGGGGGGGAACAGCAATTGTAACCTTCGTGCTCTCATTTTGCGCCTCATCCTCCGCTACTTGCCATGCGAGGGCTAGGTCTTCATCCTCGCACTCTTGCTCGAAGCCCTCGGCTTCGACCTCAGCAATGAGTTCCTTCTGGACCTCCCGGGCCAGGGCGGCATCAGCACCAACTGAGGGCTCGCTCACGGACTCCGCATCAGAAATGTGCTCCTCATCAGCCGAAGGGTCCCCCGATATGTTTTGGGAATCGCTCTCGGACGACATTTTTTATCACGAAATGTGCCTAAGATTTCGAAGGCTTTCTACAGGACTCTAACCCTAATCTAAGGCCAGAGGGCGGAACTTACTAAAAGTTTTGAGAGGAAAGCAGGACACTGACCTTGAAAGCTGAGTTTTGACCGAAGGCTTGAGTTTCTCTCTCTAGAATTTTTGGCAGAGCTTCGCTAAGGATGTTGGATGCGTAAAGAAGGAATGACATTGGCTTGGGGTATTTATAGGCTCCCAGATCCGGGCTTGGGCCGAGATCCGGGCTCCCAGCAGCCAAAGCCATCATTACGCACCGTCGTTTCACCCAACTCGTGACGCCCGCCCACGAGCAGCCAACGGCTACACTCCACGTGTACCCCCCGAACGGCTATAAATCTGACGCTACATATTCCAACGGCTATATTTCCAACGGCTGTATTCTGGAAGCCCCCGGGTTTTCTTACTTCACTCCACTTCATCAAGGAGAGCCTCCGGGTACACTTACCCAGAGACAATACAGGTGTAAAAACCCGGGGTGGCCCGGGAACACCCGCCTGTATGGAGTATATGGCCCGGGAACACCCGCCTGTATTGGCCGATTCTACTGATTTAGGAAAAAGTTATATTAAAAAATAATTAAATGGTCCTCTACAATAACTTCGGCCAATACAGGTGGAAAAGTAATTTCAATCTTACTTTTTCTTATTATTACAAAATTCAACGCGCGAAATCAAAAGTTACGTGTTTAGTGAAAAAGTTGACTGATAACCTATTCTCTCCATGATTATCAACTTAATAAAATACGATCGATACCTTGTCATTCAAACAAAACATTATAATAAGTTATTCACGAATTGCCCTAAATAGGAGTAAACAATATTTGAAATTCCAAAATAAGATCACTATGATTTTCTTTCCAAAATAAGAGTTGTTAATGCCAAGATTGAAAAAATATCATCATTAATTATAATAAATATTATCATGTTAGATGTATAGCACTACAACTTTTCGACAGTTATATATGATTATAAGATGTCAATAAAAACTACCATGTAAGTGCTATCGATTTTAGAATTGTAAAACATTATTACTTCTGTTTTGGAAAATCTCTATAAGCGCTTACGACGTCCATACTGTCACATCATTTAAAATTTTGCATCTTAATGTTGTAGCCTACTAAAGTACTACTACCTTCCTACCAAATTAATTTGTATAGTCAATTATTTCTAAATAGTTTCATTTTATTAACTTAATTATGATATTGATTTTTAATTGTATTTTTATTTGAATTTTGCAGCTTTATAGAGATTTTAATGCAGTTCCCAAATATGTAAATTTTAATTACTAAATTTGAAGTAGTTATCATCTTATCGATTGGGAAGCTAAGATTTAAATTTAACATTAGTTAATAAAAAAAACGTTGACTATATGAATCAATTAAGAAACTTTACACATCTTGTGTATACTCTTAATTTCATAAATCACTCATACTCTTATTTAGGTAGGGGTGGACCGGAGCCGGGCCAGTTCCGGTTCGGGCTTGGGCCCGAATGGGCTTTTATTTGGAAATGGTGGAACCGGAACCGGAACCGGCTGTTCCGGGCCGGTTCCGGTTCGGGCCTACTTTTTTTTTCTTTTGATTTTCTAAATATTCCCTGACTCCCCACCCCCACCCCCCTCCCCTGGCCCCCCAACTCCCAAGCCCAACCAGGTAGAAACAAAAAAAAATTGAAAAATCAAAAAATAAATAAATTAGGCCCGAACCGGGCCGTTTCACGTTTTAGGGGGCCCGAGTCCGAACTGGGATATGAGCGGTTCAAGGTGGCCCGAACAGGACCCATGACCTGGTACCGGTCCGGGCGGCCTGACCCGAGTCCACCCCTAGGTTTGGGTAAGAAGCAGGTTGGGTTGGGTGGTTTGGGAAGTTTGGGGGGGTAGAATTAATGAGCAAAAACCCAAAAAAGAAATAGTACCCAACCCGAACCGGGCCAATCCTGGAACATAGCCAGGCCAGTACCGGGGCTCCATTTCCCAAACCTCGTCCCGTCCTAAGCCTGACTTGGGACCAGTCCATCGCTAGGAGTGAAGGACCTTACTAAAGATAAAGTTTGAGAAGTGCATAACAATATCACCTAAAGTTTGTTACTACCAAATCAACCTGTCCTAAATTAAACCTTCGATTTGATCAGAAATGAAGTTTAAAGGGGTGAAAACAGTATGGTTGAAATGTGCTTAGCGAGAAATAAAGAATAACATTATCTTTTTCTTAAGAGGAAACGAGTGAAAATAGGATGATTGAAATGTGATTAGCAAGAAATAAGGAATAAAATTATCTTTTTCCAGTGAAAACCGTGACACGGATAAAAAGGAAATCGCGTGACTAACAATTAACAAAATCTTAAGCAAACGGCCTATTGGCAAACTAGAAATGAAAATAGGCACAGATAAGGATTGATGTCATTGCTTTCTATTATTTCGATTGAAGGAAAAAATGCAAGTTATATCATACATGTCAAGTTCGAAACCTTCTGCAAAGGCAAAGGAAAAAACATTTTCAATTGAACTATAGTAGCTCATAGGAGGGATGTTTTAACAACAGGTTATGTTGCACCACTGCATTAGAAAGACCTAATGTGGTGACATATGCTCCCAAAGAAAGGTTTGAATCCAAACAACCAAACAGCAGCTATGCACTTTGAAGCACTTCAGGTTTGGAAACATCTTGAGCAGTTGATCCCGGCCGGTTTCAGTTCTAGAATATGTAGCAAAGCAAGTATTAGTCGAAGGGACACACATTGTCATTCTACAATTTAATCTTTGGGTTTCAATTTGTGTTTTTACCTTTATGCCATTACAGCCATCACATCCAAAGTTGGTGCTTTTGAACAGGAGCCTGAGAGTGCCCACAGACTCCTACTACGCCAATGAAGGCCCAACAGGCCCAGGAGGCCCAACAGGCCCAGGAGGCCCAACAGGCCCAAATCACGGCGCCCAGAGTACCAAGCAGCCCGCAATACGCACCAGGGGTGCCTTCGGCCCCCTGGCCGAAGGCTCCAAACTATCACAGCATGGATATTTCGAACAAACAGAGGAACTGGGAGAAAACGGCGAAAACAGTAGCCCTCGGCACCTGGAGCCCTCGGCACTCAGGGGTCCTCGGCACTAAGAGCCCTCGGCTAGTCCTCTGCAGCCGAGGGCACCTCTCCCGACATGATATCCGCCTCACATGCGTACAGATCACCGTACCCTGTACAGACGTCCCATCCAACAGCCGCATTAAATGCGGCCACATGCGGCTGCCAACGCCAACCGGTTGAGGTGACCTCTCGGCCAATAGGCGCTTGACACGTGTCCCTGTCCGGCATTTATTGCTGCTATAAATAGCACCCCATTTCCCCATTTGTAACCACGCTGAAAACGCTCCACATTTATAATACATTCTCTCTCTTACTTACTTGTGCTCTGACTTCTCTCTAAGTTATTCTCAGCAATAACCCCTCGGATATATACCCCCCGGGTAGACTATCCATCAGGGGGTTACCTTCCTTGGGCCGCACAGGAACGCCCAGGGAATAATCCTCGCATGGATACTGGGCCCGCTTCTCTAGCCTACCCCATTAGCCAAATTTTCGGGGCTATCAAGGACAATGGGCTGCTCAAGGAACCGGTACCCACCAAGGGACACATGATGGACCTGGACACGGGGGCCTACCGCGAATATCATCGTAAGCAGGGGCACCGAACGGATGACTGTCAAAGTCTAAAGTACGCCATACAACAACTCATTGAGAGGGGATACCTGGGTGAGTTCACAGCAGGAGGAGCATCTCAGGGCCCCTCACAGCAGCATAGGAGGCCCTACAGCTGGCACCGGGATGATCGGCGAGAGGCTGGGGCCAAGGAGGAGGACTTCCGGTATAACGGCAAGCGACCGGAGGCATCACTCGGACCGGTCGGCACCAAGAAGAAAATGGAAATCAAAATGATCTTCGGAGGGGCGGAAACTGGGGATACCCCGGCGGAGAGGAAGAAGTTCGAAAGGGCCCTCCTGATAAACTCCATCTCCGCACCTCCCACCAAAAAGCATAAGGCCGAACCTATCACGTTCGGGACAACGGATCTACCACAATCACCAGGGCCGCACAGGGATGAGCTGGTAATCAGCATGGATATCCGGGAGTGGATAATCCGACGAGTCGTGGTTGATACAAGAAGCAGTGTCAATGTCCTATACTGAGACGTATTTGAGAAGATGCATCTGAGCAGGGCTGATCTGAGCCCTCTACGGACACCCTTGGCTGGTTTCACCGGTCACAACATTGATGCGGAAAGGACGATCGTCCTGCCATGGAGATCGGGGATGGCGAGCACATGGCGACGATCCCCATGACGTTTGTGGTAGTACGACTAAAATGCGCTCACAACACCATTCTGGGACGGCCCGGATTGGAGGACCTTGAGGCCATCTGCTCCGTACGGCATTGCTGTATAAAATTCCCCACGAAGAAGGGGTGGGCGTGGCCCGTACAAAACCAACATGCTAGAATCCATGGTACCATCAAGAGCCCCTACTCCTCAAAAAAGGCTGAATTTTGGAGGACTAAAACAGAAGTGATTTTTGGACTTTGAATTTCGAATCTTTCATAGGTGGCCGTAGCTCTGCCTGGCAATTATTGCGCCGAAGTAGGCCAGCAGTCCGATCTCAATCTTCGATCTGACTCTTCCCTTTTTCAAGGCACTCAAGTGCTTCGACTTCCCAAGCGGTTTCCGCTTTCAAACCCTAACATTTTGGGTCTTTTAAATACGGGCTTTTATTTCCAATTAAACCTTTCACACAACTCTCAGAGGAATCCTGGGTCTTCGGAAAGTCCTCTTATCTCCTCCCTTTTCCCAGGTCAGTTCTCATGTCTTCCTCAAGCTCTATTCATGTTCACCAGGTTTTCCCGGATAGCGGAGCTGTTTCTATTTGTCCCAAAATCCCTGTTGATGCCGACGGGGTGGAACAACATTTTTTCCATTCTCTGCAATCAATATACGGAGTAATATTTATGAGTGCATATAATGGGGAATCTGCTTATCTTTTCTAAAGTAGAGATCAAAGAGAGAGTACGGACTTTGAATTTCTTTTTAATTAGTCATATGTCTAATCTAATAAATTTTTCTTTAATCTATATCACACACACACACACACACACACATATTTTGATCGATTGTTCTTGCCTATCACGGAAGCTCGGCTTAGCAACACTTCAATTCACCATAATTTGTTTCACATTTCAGAAAGTCAGTGAAGCATTTGTGTAGGTGCCTTTTACTCCTTTTAGATAGGCTTCACGTTGTTGATGATTTGAGGTAAGAGTGTACGACTCATCTAAATCATTGTGACAGAATTTTAATTTCGTTGGGTAAATTCTCTAAATTCGTGATTAGGTAATTTGTTATCATAGAAGTTTTTACATTTTTAACGCTTTTTCTATTAGGAGAAGTTTGACAATCAATTTGAAAGGGGATGTGTGTTACTATTTTTTTTGGCTTAAACGCAGGTGACGGTGGTCTTCATTTGTCTTTTTTTTTATGTCAACCCACCAAATTTTGCCCAATATAATAATAATTCATATTCCATACAAAAAAAAGTTTGTAAACAGTTGTCTAGATCCACAGGGTTTGCATAGAATCACTTTGGTTTTAAAAGGTACAATTTTTCATTAGTTTTAGTTTTGTAGAGATTAAGCTATATAAGAAATCTCTATTGATCTAAACAACAACCACATTCACGCCTTAATCCCAAAAGATTTTAGAGTCGGCTGTCTACTGATCTAAATGGTACTAAAAATGCATTGCTATATACAATTGTATGGAGCACTACTTATCTTAATTGGTTTCAAATAAGATCTCAGAGGCCTGATTAGTGAATTTTTAACAATGTAAATTCAAATTATTCTTACTTTTATTTAGTATACTTTAGCATCTGAATTGCAGTCCTAATGTATTTTTCAGTTTTGCATATTCCTTCTGATCACTTCAAATGATTTTTGTCAAGTCAATAGGGTCTATAAGAATCGATTGATTGCAATTTTCATTTCATTTTCTATGAAGACGAATCCAATTGTGTTGAATGTCCCGATTTCTTTTAGATGTCTCTGAATTCATGATTCTATTTTACATGGTGTCATTAAGGAATGTAATCATTTGTGCTTCATCATTTTAAAGGCAAAAGCTAATTTCTAATACATTTCCTACCTTTTTATTTTACACTCTAAGTGTAGTTTTTTTATATCCAATCACACTTAAATTTATAAAACAAACATGACCTCTTTGTGTTTTTTCCACTTAACTTTTAGATTCCTTTTGGACTTTTTTTGGGCAAATCCTTTTGGACTTTTGAGAGTCGTAAATAACGTGCATTTTCTTACGATATCAAAGTAGAAATTTTAATTGGAGTGTCCAATTAAAATTTGAGTGTGTAATGAAAATTGCTCATTATTTTTCCCACTTGGGGCCTGTTTACTAACAGAGATATTTTCCAGTTTTCCAGAAAACTATAAACCTGAAAAACAGAAAACATGAAACGTGTTTACAAAAGAAAATTGCTGAAAATCTAGAGAAAGGAAAACAAAAAAAAAACGTTTACCAAATCGTTTTCCAAAACGAAAAAATGAGACATGTCTTGTTTTTCCTTAATGATTTGGAGAAATGACTTTTACTAGTTTTCCAAATTTGGAAAACGCAGATGCTACGGTGCCGCTGCAATGATTTTGCATACTTACACCTAGTGATGGTCCGGTCCTGCTCCGATGTTGATTCCATTCTGCTACCTCCATCCTTGTACCTTACCCCTACCCTACCCACCCAACCCCCACCTCACGTACCATTTTTCGATTCAATGACCCTACCCCACCCCCACCACATGCCCCTACCTCGGTCCCACCTTGATCCACCCTACCCTAACCGCCACCCCCCCACCACCTCGACCCCACCCCCTCATATATTACCCTTACTCCAACCTTACCCCTTACCACATGCCCCAACCTCGGCCCCATCCTACTGTCATCCTACCCCCACCCTCGTACCGCCATCCTACCTCCAACCAACCACCATCCTACCCCCCACCCCCTACCCTTCCCCTACCTCGGCCCCACCCTGATCTCGGCCCAACCGCCATCCTACCCAACTCTCTACCCTACCCTTACCTTACCCCAACCCTACCCACTACCCTTACCCCTAACCACGACCCTAACCCACCCACTACCCCCACCCAACCCCTACCCCTAGACCTTACCACCCCAACCCCGACCATACACCTTACCCCACCCCACCCATACCTTCTCTACCTCGACCCCTACGAGTAGGTGTGGGTGGGTATGAAGGGTTGCAGGGGAGTATGGGTAGAGGTAAGGGTAGGGTCAAGAGTCAAGGGTGTGGAATTGGGTGTAGGGTGTAGGGTGGGAGGTATAGGGGTGGGGTATGGGGTAGGGGTATGGGTACACGTACGAGGAGATCGACCCCACCTATTATATTATATATTTGTGTTCATGAATGTTTGTGTGTTTATATACGTGTAGGGTTATTTTGGACATTTTAATGTTAAACGGTGTTTTAAACCTTTTGAAATAAACATGATCTTACAACATTGCTTATTTTATACGCCGCTTATTAACATGGGTCTTAATAAGCATTATTTAGTAACCCGTGAAGTAAACTTGTCCTCAATCTTCTGGATGATGCAGAACTGGGTAAAAAATTGATGAACATGCTTTCAGATTTGAAAATGGAAAACTAAAAAATAGAAACAGAAAATTGGAGATAGAAAAACTGAAATATAAAAACAGAAAATTGGAGAACGAAAATCTGAAGTAGAAAACAGGAAAATATCTCTGTTACTAAACAGTCCCAAGTGTTTAGTATGTTTTCTGTTTTCCTTTCTCCAGTTTTCCAGCAATTTTCTTCGGTAAACACGTTTCATGTTTTCTGTTTTCTTGTTTTCCAATTTTTTGGAAAACTGGAAAATATCTTTGTTAGTAAACAGTCCCCAAGTGTTTTGTATGTTATTGCAAGGTGGGTGGATATTTATCTGCACTCATCCATCATTTGAGGTATCTGTTGTTTCTAATCAATTTATTTTGCCCTATGTTCATATTAATTTTTGGGAAAAGTTAGTAATGTTTATGTTCTACTCTGATTACATTGTCTAACCATGTTCTTGAATTCTATCTTAGATATGAACTCAGATTCCTCATGAAGTTTATTCGTATCTGAATTTTTTCATAAGTTAAGCTTTTATAAAAAGGACGCATCAATGTCTTCAACTTGATGTTCTGTCAACTTTATTAATCATAACTAATCAAGTTTTAAAATATTTCATTATTCAAATATTGGGAAGTTGTTTCTATTGTTTTCCAGCATGTGAAGTGTGTTTTATGCTACTACTCCATATTATTTATTTCCATGTTGCTGGACCTTTTTTGGAGCTGAGACTATTAGTCAATATGATATTATTAGTCAATATGATATGCTTCTGTTGGCTGTCCAAACTCCAGACATGTCATGGTGATGCTTTGCATGTTTTGTTCAATGTTGCATCTTAAGAGAATCTTTTTAATCCCTCTTGCAGAGATCCTTGAATTTAATTTTATGTTATGCCTGCACTTCTTCACTGTTTGAGAATAAATCCATTAATCTTTCTCCAATATGATAAGACAATTCAGTTGTCTTATTTAATGTATATATCTAAAATTGGTGAGTTTGTTTTTCATCAAACTCGCTGATGAGTTTGTTTTTCCACTGTTAAGTTAGCTCATCATAATATACTTCTGCATCAAGGAGTCCAATTAGCACATCATAAATTCTAATATTCCGTTGTTGAGTTTGTTTTTTCATCATCTTTTTGTATTTATCTGAACCTATAATATTTTATTACCCGAAAAATACCACCAATATATATTTGTGTATAAAAACATACACATATATAACCAGGTATACATTTCGTAAGATGATCCTTTAAATTTCTCACTCCCGATTCCAACCACAGGAGGAAAGTATCTGACGGTAGGAGCTGTCCAACTGCGGTGCTGAAATTCGCAGAATACCCATAAAATAATCCCCATCTGCTTATTTCATGTCCATTGGCCGAGGGGGTTTGGGAAAAGAAAGTGTGGGCTGCTGCAAATGTTTTGAACCTGGAGTTTTTGGAGTGGGTAAAACATATGTTCTCATCCAAAAACGAGGAATAGAGGTGTGACTTTATCATGAATTGTTGGAGTATTTGGCAAGCACGAAATATGTGGTATGTCTGGAATAATAAAATGGCTACGACTAATAAGGTTGTTGTACTAGCTGATTCATTTCTGAAGGGCTGGGGGAAGCTCAGGAAGAGGGGGAATTGGTGCAAGGAAATCAGCTAGGACAGGAACGACACTACAGAAAAAACTGGAGCATGGTAGGCTAAAATGATCACCGGGGCTTTGGCTGCGTGGTCCGCAACAACACAGAGATGTTTGTGGCTGCTGGCAGTCAACCATGGTGGGAAAGATGCACTCCAAAGGTGGCTGAAGCACTAGGGATTCGGGATTCGGGAAGCACTAAGTTGGCTAATGGAACTTCATTGGGACAACATCGGCATATAGTCAGACGGTGCTCCAGGTTGTCTCGGATATTAATTCGAATGGTGGGTCTTCTTTTCTTGGCATAGTTGTGGATCATATCAAGGATTTATGACGTTTTTTACAAGCATTAGTATCGCTTTTGTAAAACGGTATGTGAATCGTGTTGTTCACAAGCTTGCTCGACTTGTCATTTCTTGGTTTGATTGTCAATCTTGGTTTCCTGATTGTATTCTTAGAGTGGACTGAACACCATCACACATTTTTGGACACCATCAGAAATAACTGGCACTCAGGAAACTGCACAATTGGGATAAGTGGGACTGAACGGGCTCTCAAATCTTGGAATAAATTAATCTTTGGGGACATATTCAAGGAGGTCCAACAAGCAGATGAGACAACCCATGAAACAGAAATGGCTTTCGAGCTTGACCCTAACCCGACAACAAGAGAAACTTGGGCTAAGGCCCAGAGTCCCAGACAAACTTACTGCTACGCCTAAACCTAGGCTTGGACTCGGTTCGGGCCACCCGGCCTGGCCCGCTACTGTGCGGGCCCGGAACAGGCCCGGTCGAGCGGTCCGGGATCGGGCTTAGACCCGAACCGGTAGGCTAAACCAGGAAGGAGAATACTGGAAACAACGGGCACATCTAAAGTGGATGGCTGAGGGAGAGGCCAACACAAAGTTCTTCCACAATTATGTGAAGGCCAGACGGAAACATAAAAAAAATGCACCTAATTGAGGACGACGAAGGAAAAACATACACTACTCAGAACTCTATAGCTGTTGCCGCTGTTGAACACTTCCAGAATCTCTACTCAAGGCAGGAAACACACACTACCCACAAAGACAGACTCTCCTACCCCAGGTGGTCACTGAGGTGGACAATTTATCAATCATTAAACCACCTCTTGAGGAGGAAATAAAAACGGCCATTTGGTCCCTTGATCCTAACAGCAGTGTAGGCCCAGATGTGCTGGGACATCATCTGCCAGGATGTTATCTCAGCAGTCGAAGAGTTTTTCCTGGGAGTTCCTGGTGGTTAGGGTTGGTTTGGGGGTGTGGGGAAGGGTTGGGGGTTAACCAGGAAAAGCCCAAAAAAAAACAAAAAATAGAACCGAGGCCCGAACCGGAACTGGTCCACCCCTAGCAAGAAGCCATGAAATTTAAAATGGACTTGATGTATATCAATCAAGTATGGAACTTGGTTGAGTTGCCTGTTGGGTTAGACCCATTGGATCAAAGGATTTTCAAGACGAAAATTGATGCTAAAGGTAAGGTGCAAAAATACAAAGCTAGGCTAGTGGCTAAAGGTTATAGTCAAAGAGAAGGAATTGACTATAGTGATATCTATTCGCCAGTTGCAAAACTCAAGTTCATTCGGATTTTGCTTGTGACAGCTGCATACTATGATTTTGAGATTTGACAAATGGATATAAAAAACCCATTTCCTTAATGGAAACCTCAAGGAGGAGGTGTAAATGGTACAACCTGAAGGTTTTTGCATCTATGTCAAATTCTAAATCATTATTTTAATGAGAGAAATCTATTTATGGGCTAAAACAAGCCTCTAGGAGTTGAAATATTAATTTTGATGAAATAGTCAAATCGTTTGACCTCATCAAATGAAATGAGGATGCCTGCGAAGTGATGTACTTTGACCATGACCAACGCTTGCACTCCGATCGGGGTAGATACGGCATGTGTTGGATGCATCATGAAGCACATGGAGTAGTAGTTGAGCCAAGAAAGGATTCATTCCTCATAATAGATTAAGAGAGAACATTCTACTTCTCATATCTAGATGGATCATAAAGTCATTGGCCAATGCAAAGATATATTCGTTTTGGATATCGAATATGATCGTTATGGATCATCTAGAAAGATTGAGAGACATAGACTAAGTTATTGGAATAGACACAAAAATCATGTTCTAGACTTAGTTGAATGTTCGTTTAATGAAAGGACTATATCACTATGAGCTCTATATTACAGGGAGTTTGAATAGTCCTCGCCAACGTCCTTATATATTAAGTTTGTCTGGTAAATCGTCTAGGGATTCTACTAAGACCTTAATTTGATTAGTGCTTAATATATAAGGCCATATGGGTCACACAACAAGTGATTATACCTTCCGATTGAATTGTTAGAAGGAATTAAATATTATTAATTGGATTAAATAATATTTAATTCATAATGCTGAAAATGAGATGAGTTAAATATTAATTAGATTAATATATTTAATTCATTATGTTGAAGGAAAGTGCTATTTGATAGAATTAATTAAGTTAGATAAATTAGATTTAATATACTTAATTAAAATGTACTTTTAATTAAATAAAGTTTATATTTTCTTTCTAATTTAGAATTAAAAAGAAAGATATAATGAAATAAACATTAGTAAGGAGTAAAAGTGGCGTGAAGCCCACTTTACTCTTACTACTAGTTTATTTTGCTTTATTTATTATTAATTATGTCATTAATAATGAGTATTGGTCCTATTAGGACTACAACTCATTAATGAGGAAGACTTTCATTGTGATTAGGAAACTAGTTTAGAACTAGTATAAATACATCCTCCTCCTTCATAATTATAGACCGGTTTTAGATTCAGTATTACCAGTTTATTTCTTTACGAAAAGATTTCCTAGCCTTTCTCTTAGGGAGATTTTACCGTTCTTTCGGAAAAGAGAAATCACGTGGATACCAAAGGTCAAGGATTATCACCGCTAGGCTGGAATATCTGTAAGTTCTAACTCAGATCTGTTATTATTATCATATTCGTTATTTTATCATAATCAGGGAAGATCTGTTTGGGAAAATTTTAAACTTCCGCTGTTGTACTTTCGAGGTACGTTACATTTAAAATTTCCCAACAAGATCAACTTATTATATTCTCTTCATTGCCATCCAAAGCGTATCAAACACGCATTCCATGTGTGCCCACGTGGATCATGTTTTAAAATAGGTGTGAATAGTTATGGACCGGGACCAGTACCCGGCCTAGGACCTAACCCCGAGGGTGCCTTGGGGGCGGGCTCAGGTTGCAGACTTCTTGGAACCGGCCTGACCCGGTCCTTTTTTTTCCCGAATGGTTTAGGTAGGGGTGGACCCGAGCCGGGCCGGGCTTTTATTTGGAAATGGTGGAACCGGAACCGGTTCGGGCCTACTTTTTTTTCTTTTGATTTTCTAAATATTCCCTGACCCCCCACCCGCCCAACCTCCCAGCCCAACCAGATTGAAACAAAAAAAAATTGAAATAACAAAAAATAAAATAAATTAGGCCCGAACCGGGCCGGTTAACGTTTTAGGGGGCCCGAGTCCGAACTGGGATATTAGCGGTTCCAGGTGGCCCGAACCGGACCCATGACCTTGTACCGGGCCGGGCGGCCTGACCCGAGTCCACCCCTAGGTTTGGGTAAGAAGCGGGTTGGGTTGGGTGGTTTGGGAAGTTTGAGGGTAGAATTAATGAGCAAAACCCCCAAAAAGAAATAGTACCCAACCCGAACCGGGCCAATCCTGGATTCCTGGAACATAGCCAGGCCAGTACCGGGGCTCCATTTCCCAAACCTCGTCCCGTCCTAAGCCTGACCCGGGACCAGTCCATCCCTAGGAGTGAAGGACCTTACTAAAGATAAAGTTTGAGAAGTGCATAACAATATCACCTAAAGTTTGTTACTACCAAATCAACCTATATATTAATCCTTCGATTTGATCAGAAATGGAGTTTAAAGGGGTGAAAACAGTACGGTTGAAATGTGCTTAGCGAGAAATAAAGAATAACATTATCTTTTTCTTAAGAGGAAATGAGTGAAAATAGGATGATTAAAATGTGATTAGCGAGAAATAAGGAATAAAATTATCTTTTTCGAGTGAAAACCTTGACACGGATAAAAAGGAAATCGTGTGACTAACAAAATCTTAAGCAAACGGCCTATTGGCAAACTAGAAATGAAAATAGGCACAGATAAGGATTGATGTCATTGCTTTCTATTATTTCGATTGAAGAAAAAAAATGCAAGTTATACATGTCGAGTTGGAAACCTTCTGCAAAGGCAAAGGAAAAAACATTTTCAATTGAACTTTAGTAGCGCATAGGAGGGATGTTTTAACAACAGGTTATGTTGCACCACTGCATTAGAAAGACCTAATGTGGTGATATATGCTCCCAAAGAAAGGTTTGAATCCAAACAACCAAACAGCAGCTATGCACTTTGAAGCACTTCAGGTTAGGAAACATCTTGAGCAGTTGATCCTGGCCGGTTTCAGTTCTAGAATATGTAGCAAAGCAAGTATTAGTCGAAGGGACACACATTGTCATTCTACAATTTAATCTTTGGGTTTCAATTTGTGTTTTTACCTTGATGCCAATATAGCCATTCACATCCAAAGTTAGTGCTTTTGAACAGGAGCCTTAGAGTGCCTCCAGGGATTTCTCAGTCACCCAACTATTCCAAATAAACTGCAGAAGTTGGAGAATTAAAAGTTTATGTGACAGATGTAGCAACAACTTTTCCACCTGTTCACTCAAAACATTCACGCAAGTAGTGGTTATCCCTCCCTAAGAATTGGCCAGTAAGTAAACACGAACAAACAAGTTTACAGAACATCACAAAATTCTTTGTTAACAGCAAGCCGTGTGCTGTCAAGAAACATATATCCATGAACTGAATATACAACTATATATACAAGTAATCAAGGTACAATGGGCAGGAATGACAATAGGCAAGCCGTGTGCTGTCTCAAATACTCCCTGCCCATTGATGACAATTTGTGATTTTTAAGGTGACACTAATTTTCTCATAAATTTACAAAATAGCCATATTGACTATAGGCAATAAAAAATTATCAAGCCACTTTGAAATAAATATGCGAGGGAAACTTGGTCAATTTACAAAAAAAATCTATTTACTCTAGAGTACTTTGATACATTAATAAAAGCAAAGTATTCTGTTTGCAGAAGAAATATGTTTTGAAAAGTGGACTGAACACCATCACACATTTCTGGACACCATCAGCGGACACTTCTTTAGGATATGTTGGGACATCATCCGCCAGGATGTTATCTCAGCAGTCCAAGAGTTTTTCCTGGGAGTTCTGATGCCCAAAGCACTCAAAAGCACAACAATCCTCATTCCTAAAACCCCTTCACCCAAAAAGTTCACTCATTATCGACCTATCAGTTTAACCAACTTCATCAATAAGGTTTGCACAAGGATCATCACTTCTCGCTTAATACCTATATTACCTAGGTTCATTTCTAAAGAGCAAATTGGTTTTATGGCGGGGGAGAATATCCACCACCATATCCTACTGGCTAAAGAAATACTACATCATCTGGACAAAAAGGTCTGGGGGCACAACATAGCAGTCAAACTTGACCTTGCACAGGCGTTTGATAGGGTATCATGGGAATTCCTGGAGGGGGCTCTGAACAAAATTGGTCATAACGCCCAAGCAACTCATTTAATTATGAGCAACCTTTCGTCCACTCACATCTCCATCCTTATCAATGGCCAACCCCATGGCTACTTTCGACCACAGAGGGGGGTCAAACAAGGTGACCCCTTATCGCCCTACCTTTTCCTTATAAATAGTGAATGTTTCTCAAGGGGATTCAAAGAGTTAATCAACAACAACAACATCACATCTTATCATATTGGGGGAGGGGTTTCAACAGTTTCACAACTCGCATTTGCTGATGATGTACTCTTATTCATGAACGGCGGAGCTTCCTTTCTCAGAAGGTTGAAAGGCCTGCTGTCAAGCCACGCCAAGGCAACAGGGCAGATGATAAACCTATAAAAAAGCAGGATGGTGGTCAGCAAGAATCTCAAAATGGTTGACAGAAGGAGAACTGAGAAGCTCACCGAAATGACAACGGTTACCTTACCCATCAGGTATCTTGGTGCTTCCATTCATCATGGCATAACCAGGCTGCAACATTGCACCCAGCTTGTGCAACGACTAGAGGAGAATTTGAGTTCGTGGAAAGAAAAGATTCTGAATCAAAGCGGGAGGCTAATCCTTATAAGAATGTCCTTACAGCCATACCACTTCATCACATGGCTACTACAACCATACCAAAAAAGATAGTCAAAATCCTTCACAAGCATATGGCTGATTTTTTTTTGGGTCACAAAAATAACATGAAAAACTACCACTGGAGTAGTTGAAAAAAAAAATTGTAGGCCAGGACCAGAGTGGGGACTACAAATAAGATCCATATCAGATATTCAAGAAGCTCTCAACTTAAAGAACCTATGGACACTAAGACAAGATCGATCTCTCTGGGCTAAATTCATGAATGACAGATATCAAAGGTCGGGCAACATGCAATACAAATCAAGAAATACATATTCCAATGGTGCATAGTCAAAGAAAAGACAAAATACATAGATTTTGACAACGAACTATTCACACAACTTATGCCTTACATCAAAACAAAAAAAAACAAAATAGGAAGGTCAATGGAACATCACCTCTCAAGTAAGCTTATGTCTCAATGTAGATGCAGCATTCAGACTCACTCACATTGCAGGGGGGGAGTACTTAGAAACCAAACCGGAATCCTCCTAGCAGCATTCTCATTCCCTTTAAAGACCAAATCTTCACTCCATGCAGAAATACAAGCATTACTCACCTCAGTAAAAACAACAACATAAATGGGTTATGCCGAATTTGAGGTCCAAACAGATTCAGAAATAACCGTACAAGCAACACAAGGAAGAAAGAAACTACCTGCAGAATACCAAGATGAAATCTCAAGAATCAGGCACCTGTGAGACAGCTTCCGGCTAAGGATCACCCACAACTACAAGGAACAAAACCGAACAGCTCACGAACAAGAACAAGACGGATTAAACAGAATCGGAATAATGTTCCACCCAACCCAAAATCTGCCGCTTTCAGTACAGTCGGCTTACCAAGACGACCTCAAGGGAAGGACTCGATTCTGTGATGCGGGCTAAACGACCTACAAACTACATGAGAGCGTACCAAAAAAGAAGGTGATTTGGAGGTCAGCTTCTAGGTGTGCACCTTTCGGTATTTATCTTTTAATTTTTTCTGGGCACTTTTGAAACTTGGAGTTATTTTTAACCGTCTTTCTTAGACGTTTTTAACGGTGTGACCCTCTTATAATAACGGAATTCAAACACATGAACCACTTTGATAAAGAATGAAACACATGACTCTATCTGAAAACGGGCTCAACCACAAGTAGTTTACCGTGTTTTTCCCAATTTCAATTGGCTCCAAACTAATAGCCCGCTTGGTAACATTGAAATCGACTGAATCGGCAGTTTTTGCTGATATTTATGAAGTTCTGACTGAAATGATTGTATTGGCCGATTCTACTGATTTAGGAAAAAGTTATATTAAAAAATAACTAAATGGTCCTCTACAATAACTTCGGCCAATACAGGTGGAAAAGTAATTTCAATCTTACTTTTTCTTATTATTACAAAATTCAACGCGCGAAATCAAAAGTTACGTGTTTAGTGAAAAAGTTGACTGATAACCTATTCTCTCCATGATTATCAACTTAATAAAATACGATCGATACCTTGTCATTCAAACAAAACATTATAATAAGTTATTCACGAATTGCCCTAAATAGGAGTAAACAATATTTGAAATTCCAAAATAAGATCACTATGATTTTCTTTCCAAAATAAGAGTTGTTAATGCCAAGATTGAAAAAATATCATCATTAATTATAATAAATATTATCATGTTAGATGTATAGCACTACAACTTTTCGACAGTTATATATGATTATAAGATGTCAATAAAAACTACCATGTAAGTGCTGTCGATTTTAGAATTGTAAAACATTATTACTTCTGTTTTGGAAAATCTCTATAAGCGCTTACGACGTCCATACTGTCACATCATTTAAAATTTTGCATCTTAATGTTGTAGCCTACTAAAGTACTACTACCTTCCTACCAAATTAATTTGTATAGTCAATTATTTCTAAATAGTTTCATTTTATTAACTTAATTATGATATTGATTTTTAATTGTATTTTTATTTGAATTTTGCAGCTTTATAGAGATTTTAATGCAGTTCCCAAATATGTAAATTTTAATTACTAAATTTGAAGTAGTTATCATCTTATCGATTGGGAAGCTAAGATTTAAATTTAACATTAGTTAATAAAAAAACGTTGACTATATGAATCAATTAAGAAACTTTACACATCTTGTGTATACTCTTAATTTCATAAATCACTCATACTCTTATTTAGGTAGGGGTGGACCGGAGCCGGGCCGGTTCCGGTTCGGGCTTGGGCCCGAATGGGCTTTTATTTGGAAATGGTGGAACCGGAACCGGAACCGGCTGTTCCGGGCCGGTTCCGGTTCGGGCCTACTTTTTTTTTCTTTTGATTTTCTAAATATTCCTTGACTCCCCACCCCCACCCCCCTCCCCTGGCCCCCCCAACTCCCAAGCCCAACCAGGTAGAAACAAAAAAAAAAATTGAAAAATCAAAAAATAAATAAATTAGAACCGAACCGGGCCGTTTCACGTTTTAGGGGGCCCGAGTCCGAACTGGGATATGAGCGGTTCAAGGTGGCCCGAACAGGACCCATGACCTGGTACCGGTCCGGGCGGCCTGACCCGAGTTCACCCCTAGGTTTGGGTAAGAAGCAGGTTGGGTTGGGTGGTTTGGGAAGTTTGGGGGTAGAATTAATGAGCAAAAACCCAAAAAAGAAATAGTACCCAACCCGAACCGGGCCAATCCTGGAACATAGCCAGGCCAGTACCGGGGCTCCATTTCCCAAACCTCGTCCCGTCCTAAGCCTGACTTGGGACCAGTCCATCGCTAGGAGTGAAGGACCTTACTAAAGATAAAGTTTGAGAAGTGCATAACAATATCACCTAAAGTTTGTTACTACCAAATCAACCTGTCCTAAATTAAACCTTCGATTTGATCAGAAATGAAGTTTAAAGGGGTGAAAACAGTATGGTTGAAATGTGCTTAGCGAGAAATAAAGAATAACATTATCTTTTTCTTAAGAGGAAACGAGTGAAAATAGGATGATTGAAATGTGATTAGCAAGAAATAAGGAATAAAATTATCTTTTTCCAGTGAAAACCGTGACACGGATAAAAAGGAAATCGCGTGACTAACAATTAACAAAATCTTAAGCAAACGGCCTATTGGCAAACTAGAAATGAAAATAGGCACAGATAAGGATTGATGTCATTGCTTTCTATTATTTCGATTGAAGGAAAAAAATGCAAGTTATATCATACATGTCAAGTTCGAAACCTTCTGCAAAGGCAAAGGAAAAAACATTTTCAATTGAACTATAGTAGCTCATAGGAGGGATGTTTTAACAACAGGTTATGTTGCACCACTGCATTAGAAAGACCTAATGTGGTGATATATGCTCCCAAAGAAAGGTTTGAATCCAAACAACCAAACAGCAGCTATGCACTTTGAAGCACTTCAGGTTTGGAAACATCTTGAGCAGTTGATCCCGGCCGGTTTCAGTTCTAGAATATGTAGCAAAGCAAGTATTAGTCGAAGGGACACACATTGTCATTCTACAATTTAATCTTTGGGTTTCAATTTGTGTTTTTACCTTTATGCCATTACAGCCATTCACATCCAAAGTTGGTGCTTTTGAACAGGAGCCTGAGAGTGCCTCCAGGGATTTCTCAGTCACCCAACTATTCCAAATAAACTGCAGAAGTTGGAGAATTAAAAGTTTATGTGACAGATGTAGCAACAACTTTTCCACCTGTTCACTCAAAACATTCAGACAAGTAGTGGTTATCCCTCCCTAAGAATTGGCCAGTAAGTAAACACGAACAAACAAGTTTACAGAACATCACAAAATTCTTTGTTAACAGCAAGCCGTGTGCTGTCAAGAAACATATATCCATGAACTGAATATACAACTATATATACAAGTAATCAAGGTACAATGGGCAGGGATGACAATAGGCAAGCTGTGTGCTGTCTCAAATACTCCCTGCCCATTGATGACAATTTGTGATTTTTAAGGTGACAATAATTTTCTCATAAATTTACAAAATAGCCATATTGACTATAGGCATTAAAAAATTATCAAGCCAATTTGAAATAAATATGCGAGGGAAACTTGGTCAATTTACAAAGTTTCAGTTTATTTAGTTGCAAACTGGAAAGACAAGTTGCAAAAGTTAATCTACAGTTACTTGAGAATGATGGGGTATAAATATAACCCATTAGGAACACTGGAGCACCTTAGGAAAATTGAGGGAAATGCAGCCTTGCGCAGTTGCTATGACCCCCATATTGGTAACTCTTACACACCTGTCAGAGATATGATTACAACTCGTAAGTTAATACCGTACACGAAAAATTTCTATTTACTCTAGATGGTAGGCCCTCTGCACAAACGTACCATGTCAGATTGAGAGACAGTACCGTTTTACAGTGTTGCAATACATGAAATTCCGATACATGAAATTGACAAGTGTACATAACCCATTTGACCACACTGCACCATGTGTTGGAAGAACCTTCCGAAGCAAGATGTCAAATAAAATCAAAACGTGAAAAAGAAATATCACACCTGGGCACCACAAAGATCCAGGAATTTCAGATGAGGCAAAAGTGGTATCTTCTTGTAAGCTTCATCCGTAAATCTGTGCTGGATAAATTTTAACCCTTTTAGTGGACAAACATCATGGAATTATAGTTTGCATGAATGTGATATGTACAAACAAGGGGTACAGACACAAACTATATACTCTCAATTTCTTACACAGAAAGGGCATAAAGGTTCAGACTTTGAAGAGAAGCACATTTCAGCAATATTCTTTTCAAACCACTATCTGTCAGCTTGATGCACCTATACACGTGAAGAGATCACAAAAAGTAAGATCGCATACTAAACTTGGTTGAAACATTTGTTTTTTTGAAAATATCTATATACATAGTAAATATAATGACAATTTCCTTCTTTTGTTCAAACGTGACCCGCGTTCGAGACAAAAGTAAGTTTTGAAAATGGAATATGCTTTGGTATTGCCACAAAAGGTACAGTTTTTTATATTGAGTGAGGAACAAGAATTGGGAATCATCAATTCTACCTAAAACTTAAATTTATTTGTGGATTGCGCTAAGTTTACATACTTAACTATGTTGAAACATGCTTTCGAATATATATACATGCACAGTAGGTATAATGACAATTTGCTTTTTTTGTCCAAATGTAACTCTTGTTTGAGACAAAAATAATCATCAACTTCGTATTAGCAGCAGTAACAATTGTAACCAGGAACTCCCTCTGTGGTAAAGGAAACACTTATCTTGCCTTATGCCTGATCTATGCATAAAAAAATCTACTTCATGTAACAAATATCATACTTTATACAAGAAACATTGATCATGAAACATTGTTACGGACTGTTTTTAAGAAAAACAAAATTTAAGAACCTAGACATACTCCTTAGCTTTACCTAGTGATGTTCAGTGAATCCAATTTTGATAGGTGTCAGCAATTAGATGCAACATTTGATCTGTAATAGTCTGTAATATCCACAAACAAAAAGGTGGGGTAATCTTTGGAAAAGGTATTGGTAGAATGAAATGGCAAGCTTTGACTCACAAAGCTCATGGTCACTAGTCACATATTAGGGGTTGTGGCAATGATAAAAACCTATCACTAATTTATCTTGCTACCCTTTCCCTTTCTTTGACTCCAATATTTGTGAGTAGCTAAAATATTTTATGTGCAACCTAGACTGCATAGTACATGCACAGAAGTGCTAAGCACACTAATGCTCCAGTACCAATACCTTCAAAGCCCAACCCAAGGTCAGGAACAGTGCCCCACCCCCACCCAAACCGAACCAATTAAGAGAGACAGGGAAAAAGAGACAGAACCACGTATCAAAAACAATAACCGTGTACCTTACAGCCACTCAAATTCAAATCAATCACAATTGCAGTTTCTCACTAAGTGCATTATGCCAGCATCTGTGACCCTGGAAATCAATTAGCAATCACATGTGAAAATGAAAAATTAATAAAAAAGATTAGAAAGCACGAATAGCTTATGTGTGCATAATGACGCTAATTAAGGCTCTTAAATACCTGATATTCCAATATATGGATAATCCCTTTAGTTTGGGACATACCTGTTATGGCTTCAATTCCTTTGTCTGAGATCTTTTGACAGCCATTTAGATTCAATATCTGAAAGTTTTGAAGGGAATCCGCACACTGCCATTGACAAATTATATGAATTTGAAACTTTATCAAAAGCTCATATATATACGTACATCTGCACCATGAGAAAAGCTCACACTCCATACACACACACATATAACAAGTGGTGACATACCAGATTTGTTCACCCTACCCTTGAGCTTTCACCTGCCCTTGAGCTTTTAACTGGAAAAAATGATAAGTTTATCATTACAAATTCAATCAAGTGATATTTTATTTATAAATGTATGCCCCCACATACCTCGATGCCTTGTTTTTTTGCCTCTCTTTTTCGGCTTCTTTTGCTTTATTATACCAATTTCTCTTACGACATCTTCAACAGATGTCAAGAAGTTATCTCTTCCTACCTTAATCTGGTAATTCACCACTTTTTGGTTCAAATCCTCTCTTGTCCTGCCTCCATTTTTATCATCTTCAATGAGTAATAATGACATGTTCTTCCAGTTATGGACCACAGATTGCATCCATAGGTCTTCATGACCCAATATACAATCACCTTCAGCAAACCATTTTTCTCGGACATGTCTCTTTATGGAGTTAAACCTTGCAGCTTCACAGAAAACCAGAATTAAAGTGAGGAGAGAAGATGCTATAAGCTGCTTCTTCTCGTTCAGATTTGTATCCTTGTCTAACTTGGATATAAAAGTTATTGCATCCCGTATAGCTACTCCACTTTTAGGGGTAATGTCCAATGAGCTCATTTCGGAAGCAGTTAGCAAATCTCCATAGGTTATCCCAACAGGCAAGGGTGTAGATGTACCAAAATCTACCCCGCTCTCACTTAAATCAAACCAATCACCCTTTCTGTTCTGTATCCCAATCAGGTATAAGTCATGATATTTGAACTTTCCCGTGCAGGTGTATTCTTGGGACTCTCTTTCACAAACAAACCTCACATGGACGTACTTTGTATCAGCATCATCACGTGGAGGCCTTGGCAAGACGTTGATGTTTGAGATTTTGTTTCCTGATCCTAAGTCCTCCCGCCAGGCGTTTATACAGAGATCATAAAGTACATCACCCTCTGCATGTGAGACTTTTATGATCCTTTGTTGCTCACAATCATCTGGATCAGGGGGGTTCTGCAAATTGATGTAATAATAAACTTGCATACTACTCCGTATATATGAAGTGCATGGATGAGTTTATGTAAAAAATGTTACATTTATTTTTTAATTATTAGATGATTTACACGTGTAGCCGTGTAGATAAGATTTTAGAGCTGTTAGAGTACATTAATTAGTAGATAAGTTTGATGTTAGATAGATCCTATATTTTAAGATCTGCACAGGGAGTTTGTTACGTGTGCTCTGTACATATATTCTGGCTGAATGGTTCAATACAATTAAAGAAGATTAATTCCTAAAACCGTCATGCTATCAGAGCTCTCGGTTTAAACATCACGATGGTAGAAACCAGTTATTCTAATTCATCCCACACCAGTAACCTTACCTCCCAAATTAGCCCTATGACAAATTACCAGTCTTCTATTCATTCATCTATGTTAATCGCTAATCATAGATTGAATGGAAAAAGTTATTTAGAATGGTCTCAATCTGTCAGGCTAACAATTGATGGGAGGGGAAAACTGGGCTACCTAACGGGAGAAATTCAAGCAAAACCTCCTAATGAGGATGACTACAATACATGGAGGTCAGAGAATTCACTTGTGACAGTCTCACATGTTGATGAAGACAGCAAAAGAAGTCTGTTGATGAACAGGTCAGACCTTGAAAATTCTTCTCAAATTTTTGAGTTAAAACCATTCTCTGGCAGTCCAAACAAGGAGATAGAGATGTCGCCACCTACTACAATAATCAACTTGCAGATGCGTTGACAAAGTCTTTGAGAGGTCCTCGAATTGAATTTATTTGTTCCAAGCTGGGTACATACAATTTGTATGCTCCAGCTTGAGGGGGGTGTTAGATTTATCAAGATTTATTGGTAGCTAAATAAAGTCCTGTGTGTTTTCTAGAACTGACCTTTCATCTTATTTGACCTTTCATCTCCTCTCTCATTAATGTATTTGTACACTCATTATTATAAATAAAGGAGTTCAAGGTTGTGGACAAAGTGACAAACACACAACCAGAAAATTATTCTCTTCCTTTAACTCTTATTTATTCAAGTACATGTTCACTTAGTTCATAAAGAGACGTGGATTCGAGCAAGCTCGGGCTGATCATACACTATTTATGAAATTTTCAAGTAAGGGGGAGATTGCAATATTAATTGTTTGTGGATGAAATTATTCTTAAAGGAGATTATTATAAAGAAACTGAAAGTCTAAAGGAGAAGCTGGCTCATGAATTTGAGGTCAAGGATCTAGGAGAATTGAAGTACTTTCTTGACATGGAGATAGCTAGATCAAGGAAAGGAATTGTTGTATCACAAAGGAAGTATGTACTAGATCTTCTTCAAGAAAGTAGACCAACATATACCCCCAATTGACCCCAACCAAAAGTTGGGAGATGTCAAAGAGGGAGTTACAGTCAATATTCAGCTTTATCAAAGGTTGGTGGGAAGATTGCAGTTAGTATGGCCAGTCAGTTTATGAAAAATCCAGTCCGGGAACATCTTGATGCTGCTTACAGAATTCTAAGGTATTTGAAAAGCTGTCCAGGGAAAGGATTATTCTTTAGAAAGGGCAACAGTAGAACTGTTTAGGCCTTTACAGATGCAGACTATGCTGGCTCAATTACCGATAGAAGATCTACTTCAGGTAGGGCTGCACAAGAATAACCCGAACCCGCATAACCCGCCCGACCCAACCCTACCCGACCCTATTTAATCGGGTATTTGATTTTTAAAAATATTCATGGGTTAAATATGATTGAACCCGCACTTAATGGGTAGGGTTGCGGAATTAAAATCTCCAACCCGATAGTACCCGACCCGGCCGAAGTTCATTTTATTTTACTATTATTATGCTACAATGTTTTCTTGGATAATTTCGATTTAAGACCAATGTGCTCTATCTAGGACTTTATGATACTAGAATTATAATTAAACATTTACCATTTTGACTAGGTGATTATTATATATTTATGTTTCCTTCTAAATGATCTTCCTTTACGGAAGGATGTTTTAATACTATTATATAATGTTTTTGCTTATAAAAGATACGAGTATTTGTATTTATTTGTGTGTTTTGAAAACAAGTTAATCGAGTTTTATATTGGTTACATTAATCTCCCACATAAAGATGCATCCCGAAGTGATTGTTTTTCAATACCCGACCCGTTCATGCATGGGTTACCAACTTATTTTGCGTACCGCGGGTTGAATAATAGCCAACCCGAACAAATCGGGTAGGCCAAAAAAATATAGCAAACCCGACCCAACCCGCCCGATGTGCAACCCTAACTTCAGGGTATTGCACCTATGTATGGGGAAATCTGGTGACTTGGAGAAGTAAGAAGAAGAATGTGGTTGCTAGAAGTAGTGCAAAATCTGAATTCAGGTCTACGGCTAATGGAATCTGTGAACTGCTTTGGATTAAGAGAGTAATTTCATAACTAAAAATGAAGATGGATCTGCCTATGAAGTTGTATTGTGATAATAAGGCAACCATTAGTATCGCTCATAATCCTGTGTTACACGATCGTACTAAACATATTGAAGTGGACAGACACTTCCTCAAAGAAAAGATTGAAGCTGGAATTGTGTGTACATCATTCATATCTATCAAGGAACAAACAGATGATATCTTCACAAAGGGGTTGTTCAAACCTGTGTTTGAACTACTTGTAAGCAAGTTGGGGATGTATGATATATACTCACCAACTTGAGGGGGAGTGTAGAAAATGTTACATTTAGTTTTTAATTATCAAATGATGTACATGTGTAGACTTGTAGATAAGATTTTAGAGGTGTTAGACTACATTAATTTGTAAATAAGTTTGAAGTTAGATAGATCCTATTTTTTAGGATTTGCAAAAGGAGTTTGTTACTTGTACTCTTTATATATATATTCGAGCCGAGTGGCTCAATATAATTAAGGAAGATTAATTCCTAAAACCTACAATTTACTAAAAATAAAATGAATTAAACAAAAAAAGAATCAGAAAGTTAAAAAAAATTCCTATTAATTTCACGAAAAGTGTGGAGTAATTCAAATTATATATATTATATATTATATATGTACACAAACATATAGAGGCAAATATGAATTAATATACCTGTTGTTGGTGATCCATTTTCTTAATCAACGGAATTATCCTGGCAGACCGACAAAGGAAATGGTTAAACATACTGATGGAGTTGTTATGCATGTATCAAATCGAAAAGGGAATGTTGATTAAGCATACTTTAAACAAATTAAAGGAAGTGCTAATATACTGCTTCACTCTACGTTTTAACACCTCAATTTTTCCTTAGACTTCGTTTATAATACTATCCTCCGTATCCCATTAATTGCAACATTGGAATATATACACTATTCATATACTTTACTTTGGCTACATTTTATTTATTGATGTATGTGAATTATTTTTTTTGAAAAATATTATTAAATTCGTCTCTTTACTAAGTTTTATAATCTGATTTTTATTTTATTTTTACTAATACATAATTAGAAATAATGATGGTCAAAGTTGTGCATTGGTAAACGTGAAATGTTGACTGTTTCAACTAAAAAAAGACGGAGGAAGTACGGAGTATGTATTAAGCACTTCTTTAAGCCAAACATCTCCAATATTATTCCACAATTACTACGTACAGAGTGTTGTTTATGATGGAATGACTGCTCAACTAAAATAGCTACTCCTCCGTGGTGTTACAGATATTAATATTTTCAAAAACTACTTCTAGAAAACATAGTGTTGTTATAGATAATAATATTTTAAAGTGATATTGAAAAATTAGAAGTGTACTACAAACTATAGAAATATTTCACACCCAATACTACTAGAGGAAAAACAAGATTAGAGGGGCCCATCAAAAATTTCAAGGCAGTGATTAAAAAAATAAAAATGATGGGAGGGGCCAAGGCCCCCTAAACATACACATAACTCCGTCCCCAAACTTTTTCAAAGCGAAAAGCGTCCAAAAGCGATGACCTTGGGCTTTGCTTAAAAGCGAAAGCGCTAAGCGAAGCGTAGCTTTCTCACAAAAAGCGATGCTTGCAAAAACTAAAAACAATAAAAAAAATATAATATATAATGTATAATTATACCAAAAAATGCATAAGTAGTCATAAAAATCATTATGGATAATATTAAAGCGGCATAAAGTTTCAAAACATTCATCACACAAAAACGCATAACTTATCATAAATGTCATAAGGGTAACACTAGCGCGGCATAAAGATAAAAAGATCCATCACATAATTGTCTACAATTCTGCATATACATGTTTCAGAAAATATTTAATCAAGACATGAAGCAAGTGTACAAAGATCAATAGAGACTTATAAGACGATACAATTTACTTTTGAAAAGTCACAAATACGACCTTATTGCTTGGGGAATAAATTGGAGTGAACTAAAAATTAGTTCATCAATAAACTGAAAGGAACAAACTGGACGGAAGTAAATCAAGTAATAAACTAAAAGTTAGTTAATCAATAAACTAAAAGTAATAAACTGTAATAAACTAAAAATTAGTTAATCAATAAACTAAAAGTAATAAACTAAAAATTAATTAATCAAAAAACTGAAATGAATAAATTGGAATAAGCTAAAATTTAATTAATCAAGAAAACAGATTGATATTTTCTTAAAAAAATACTACATTAATACTTGATATGGAGTAGAATAGTAGGTACAATCACTACCAAGAAAATGAATTCCCTCTTCAACAAAAGGCACTAGCTATCTATGCTTTCATTATGATATACTCCGTATAATTCACATGTTTAAAACTATAATTACTACTAAGAAAATGATAAATCGTGATTTCTCGCATTAAATAATATCCATATAATATAGGCTGTTTTAGAAGCTTGTGGTAACAGTATAAGAGTAAGACTTTCAAAAATAAAAATAAAAAACAGGGAGTTCCGGAAGTTTGGCAACAAACTAAAGCAGAGTAAACTTAATGAAATACTAGGAGTATGGAGAACAATCTGAAATATGAAAGAAATAGAGTTGTGGCTCACAAAGTCTGGATGAAATAGAACTGCTGCTTCTTCAGACGCAGAGTTCACCTGCTGCTTCTTCAGACTGAACCAGGCCACAGAGACGAGAAGACTTTCGTAGCTCACTCACGGGCTTCTTCAATCGCAGGCTGGGACTTCTTCAACGCAGGAGGAGTGTGGGAAGAGTAGAACTTAAACCTGATAACCTAATAACATAGCGACAAGCGACTAAAACTTTCTCATGTCCGTCCCTGCCAACAAATATCAACAGACAATCAGAAATTGCTTTCATTGTAATATGAAATTGCCGAGGACTTTGCATCATACCAGGCCGGTTTGTGGACTGAGGCATCCTTTAGCACATTGGAGCGAAGTTATCGGCGCAATGCTTTTAGTCTAGGTTTATAAATCGATGAAGAAAGGAGCTAAAGGACTGAAATCCATCTGCACACAAAAAACTTTTGAGTACTCATTCCCGCTAAAGACGTCTTGGGTTTTTAATATTAATTAATTCAAAGTCAAATTGACTTCTTTTTTTAAAAAAATGGTCAAATTGACTTCTTGTGTACGGAAAATAAATTAACCCTTAGCCTATCCTTTGCTGAACTTATACTCCCTCCGTCCCGTCATTAAATTCTCACTTTCCTTTTTGGGCAGCCCCGAAATTAACTTCACACTTCAAAACTTTCTTTATTTGGCAAATAATCTACACCAAAACAATGTCAAACACTATCAAATAGTGTGAAACAGTGTTTAAACAATGCATTTCACGGTAAAATCAAATTTATTTTCTTAACTGTGTGAAGTCAAACTATGAACTTAATTGCGGGACGGGGGTAGTAACAAATAATCTGTTACTCCCTATTAACTAAAATAGAGATTGTTTACAACAACAAAAAATATGTGACTATTGACTAGATTAATAATGAAATGTTAGTAACATGTATTCATTTTTTATACTAAAGTTATCATGACATGACATTGTAGTAAATAATAGTCATGTTTGTGTAAATAAGTTTTCTTTTAGTAATTTTTTTTAAAAAACCCTAAACTAAATTGCAAAATAATAATATTTTAAAAAATTTATTAAAAATCATGATAAGAAAAATAGTAATACGAGTATCGCGTAAGAGCGGCGGTCTGCCGGTCTGCTCCCTCAAGGTAGAATTTTTTTTTGCCACCGATCAATCTGTTCGTGCGGATAGTTTATTTTATTTGGTTTGGACCGAAGAAAGAAAGCACTGCCCTTGCGGCTGAGACCTAGTGCTTCGTTCGTTCATCGGAAGAGGCCGCGTTTCGTTAGCCGGCATTTTTGGGCGCAATTTGCAAGGAGATGAATGCATCACAGGGTTTGGCAGCGAAGAAGACAACAGCCAGTGGCGATTTTGCTACGAGAGCGGGATGAGAAAAGTTGGACGGGCTTGGCGTAGGCCAAATTTTGATCGAATCAATTAGAGTGACACCCATGGTACGGCCTCCTTCTGAACCACCGTCAGAGGTTGAATGAGGTGCTAGCGTTCGTGAAATTTATCGTATTGGTTATTATTATTTTGTTATTTGGATTCTTGTTACGATCTATATTGTTAGGTTTTTCAGTTTGTTTGAAAACTTAGCCTACTTTTATGTCGCTGGAAGTACATGGATCAAGCCCGTTTCATGGTTAGCGATTCATGTTGCTCTTTCAGAGGTGATCGTCTCGAAATTTAGTCATAGGGTTTACAGTCGTAGTTTTTGGAGGTTAGTTTGGTGTGAGGTATGGTTTTTCATTTGATTGATGTAACGATCCTGAAACTAATGATATGAATATAAGCAAGGTTTCCGTTCAAAGAAAATTATAATAAAGAAAGGACTTATTGTTGGTCCCGGTTGTACTGGATACAGTCTGGGGGTGAATAGACTATATTGGTTTTTAGCTTTTTCAAGCTAAGTACCAGATTTAACAGAATAGTCTGTTCTGTTGGCAGAACAGACTGGCAGCAGATGGGGTTCTGGTAGGGGTTCTGTCAGATTAGCCTAAGAGAAGCAAAAGCAGTAAGCCTTCTGTTAACTCACTAGACACGTTCTGCTGAACACAGAGACCAAATCTTTGGAGTTAATTAGTTCTAATTAAATGCGATAAGTAAATGCAGTAAGTAAATGACACCAGAGATTTTTATAGTGGTTCAAGGAACAACTCGTTCCTCTAATCCACTGTTCCATTAAACTTGTAAAAACGTTCGTTTACAACGCCTTAGTCCTAACACTTAAGAAGCTCTCCACGTCTTCTTCAAGTGTAGTTGTCTCCTAAGATGCACTTCATGGCTTCCTTTAAGACTGGTTCTTTCACTGAGCTTCCCGGAAGTATCACCACTTCACTGCTCCAGGTACTTGGATGTCCTTCTTGTGAAAGAAGAGTTTATGTTGAAACAGGGGTTCCTCCAACTTGCTTCGTTACAAAAGATTTGTAGATGAAGTGCTTGAAGTGTTGAAGAACGAATGGAACTTTGCTTGAGTTGGAAGTAAGAATCTTTCCAACGTCTGCCTTCTCTTGTAGAAGATGATGAAGATTTAATCTCAAGGAGACTTATGCGCTTTTGAGTGTTTGAATGTTTTTGTATTCGCACTTTTGTAGCAAAGTTATCCGGTTGTTCTTCGTAAAGTATCTTTTATACTGAGGTTGTCTTCCCGTTGGAGGAGAAGGAGGACAACTGCATTTATTGCGCGAACAGTTGACTTGACCAGTAGGACCCAACAAAGTTGGCGGGTTACTATTTTGGGATAAAGTTATCCTGACATTGCGGCCAATCATCTGCATTTACTCTACAGAGTACGGGAGGCATTAAATGTGCATTTAATACGCGTACTGTAGTTCTTCCGTTGAAGTCTTCTAGCCGTTGAAGAATCTTCCGTTGAATTAACTGGCTTGGATGTATTCGGAAAGCTTCTAAGTGTCAGACCTTCTGGTATCTTCAGCAGAAGGTCAATCAGAGAAGGTATTGAGCACTTCTATTGAAACGTAAGTCACCTGAGGGTCTTTAGTCCATTTGTCAAGAGAGAGGCCAACAAAGGACCTAAGGGCTTGTGCCATAGTGGAGTCCAACAGAGAGTCAGGAGGACTTTTGTTAAGAGACTATCACCAGAGGGCCAAACGGGCTTCTGTCTGGAGGTCTTCTGTCAGTCGACTTATCTAAGAAACTTTACAAGGAAAATTTCTAATACATTAAATCTGAAAAGGGGGTACTCTAAATTCCTAATTAGTATAGCATCATCAAAATCTAATTACAATTGTTCCTTACAATTTCCCCTTTTTTGATGATGCCAAAACCTTTTAACTATTTCTAGAGAAGTGCCTTCACCATAAAAGAATTAAAGTATATGAACTTTCATTAAAAATCTTGGTGGGAAACTTAGCATAGGAAAATAGTAAGAGTACAGTACATTCAAATAGCATAAAATAAATGAAAGCACATAATAAGACAAAGAAAAGTAAGATAGATAGGAAGAAATAGCCTTACAAAATGAAAGGCAGAGATGTGATTTTATTGATTGATAGTTTCAGGAGTATTTGATTACATAATGGCCCTTGCAGCGTCAGCTCTTGCTTGCTCATCCAATTCTTGTAGCCTTTTCAGCTCAACATTTACCTCTTCTCTGATTCCTGTGAGGTTTCCTGATGTTTGGTAGGAGGCCGAGACTGGAGAAAGTTTAAGGTTAAGGTAGTTGAGCACACCTTCATGTATGTCTTTCCCTGGAAGGATGCTGTTGTGGTATCAAAACTCTGCTTCTTCCAGAGATCCACCATGTCTGACTTTTACATGACCATCATTGTCCAAATAGAGATTCTGTTGTTGCGTGGGTGTCATCTTCTACTTCATTTCTTCAAATTGAACTTTGGTTATTGCTTGAGATCCTCCCAATGTAACACCGTCCCCAAGTATATTTACTTTTAGTAAACCATGTAATGAACCTTGAATAATGATTTATGAAAATACGAGGTTGTAAAATTTTTGTTACTACTTTTGCGTGAATAGTGAATTGCACGCGGGGCCCGCATCAGGAGCGGGGACCATCCAATAATCCCGGGACCACATATTATATTCAACTTAGTATAGATAATATTTATATGGTGGTGGATATTTTAGTTGGGCCATAGAAAGGGTATATGGTTGACCCGTCGGTCGAACGAGGCCCAATTACCGGTATTGGTAATTTATCGGATAACAGTCCGAATGGGATTTCGGAGACTTCTAAATTAAAGTTGGGGATTGTACATCCATTCTAAAGGACTACAATGGGTAGGAACATGTGTTATATTTTATTTGACCCGATAAAATAAAATATAATTAAAACAGTCCGAGAAATACAACTTTCGGGGCCAAATATTCAGTTCGGGGTTTAAAGGGATGACCTCCCACATATGTGGGGGCCATCCCATAAATTTGATCACACAAATCAGGGAGTTGGCCGGTTGGTGTAGTGTGTGAACATGGGGAGGTGTGTGTGAAATGAAATAAAAGGTGTCAAACAAAAAGGGGGTGGGCCTCCTCCCACACCATCCTCACTATTGAGACAAAATTCAACCCCCCTCTCTCTCCTTTCATGATTTCGTACCTCTAAGTATGCTGGAGTTTGATGCGATCCTAGGGATGGATTGGCTCGAGAAGCATCATGCTCGAGTTGATTGTTACACCAAGGTCTTAGAACTCGAGGATGATGAGGGAAACGCCCTACGATTTGAGGGAGATCGAGGAAGATCTCAAGGTTGTATCATATCCGTGATGAGAGCACGGAAGATGATGAAGAAAGGCTGTCACGCATACCTTGCTTACGTGGTAGATCAGACAAAGAAGGAGGTCGACATCAACGATGTACGTGTCGTGTGTAAGTATCCGGACGTCTTTCCCAAGGACTTACCGGGGCTTCCCCCCGATAGAGAGATCGAGTTCGTGATTGAAGTTGAGCCAGAAACTAAACCCATTTCGATTCCTCCTTATCAAATGGCACCGGCGGAACTTCAAGAGTTGAAAGTCCAATTACAAGAGTTATTGGATAACGGGTTCATTAGACCTAGTCATTCACCGTGGGGAGCACCGGTACTCTTCGTGAAGAAGAAAGATGGTTCACTAAGAATGTGTATTGACTACCGACAATTGAACAAGGTCACAATCAAGAATAGGTATCCCTTACCGAGGATTGATGACTTGTTTGATCAACTTCGGGGGGCGATAGTGTTCTCAAAGATTGATTTGAGGTCGGGCTATCATCAATTGAAGATAAAGGAGAGTGACATACCGAAGAGTGCATTTCGCACTAGATATGGTCACTACGAATTCCTTGTGATGTCGTTTGGTTTAACCAATGCAACAGCGGCATTCATGGATTTGATGAACCATGTGTTTAGTGAGTACTTAGATCAGTTTGTGATTGTATTCATTGATGACATCTTGATATATTCGAAGAACGAAGGAGA